TAGGATTATTTTGGTTTATCTCCCCAAGTATAGTAAAAGTATTTTTAATGAGTTTCCATATCAATCTTATAAATAAAAAATAAATAACATATGTATTAAAAGTATAATTAAGTTAAACAAAATAAATTATAGATCAGATTAATTTAAGATAAAGAGTGATCTCTAATATAAAAAATACAGCTAAATTACTTTTGCAAAGTGACCAAAAATTTAGTTACATAAATGAAACTCCATTAATATTATTTGAGAAGCATAGATCCATATAAGAGCTGAGAAAATATAACTGCTAACAAGAATAAAATTTAATTAAGCTAAAACTATAGGTGATTTACTATTAAATAAGGCTTTAAACTATAAGATAGTTTTACATTAAAAAGGTACATTTATGAAGTAGATATCAATAGAAAAAGTTTTGATAAAATTATATGTCGCTTTGGAAATATTTTATAAACCAAAATAATTTTATATTTAAGATAGTTAGGAATTAATTGATGGAATGCACTTTTAAGCATTAGAGATTCTTTGATTTAAAATATCAAGGAATTTAGATAAATTTTAATATTGATAAAATTAGGAGTAATAAATAATTAAATTATAATTATTAGATAATTCTAATGGTGAATAGTTTTTTTGATTAACAAGTCTACTCAACCAATAATGTGAACTTCAGAAACTTACTTATTTATTATCTATATAACTATATTTATCAAAGTTAATTCATACTCTAGAAAACTTAAAAATAAGAATTGGCAACTATAATTATGTAAAACTAAAAGCATTTCAAAAAAAAGAAAATAGAGTCAAGTATTCAGATAAGATAAAATGTTCAATTACTATAAGGATTATATAAGTCATGAAGTAAGCAATCCAAAGATTTTTATTAATTTCTAAATTCGTTTTTAGAATGATTCCTAATTTAAGGATAGTAGAATGTAATATAATTTTATAAAACTTTGCATCCTTGTACTTTACTATATAAGAAGGTTATTACGGATTATTGGACATTCCATTGGTAAGTGTAGCTCATAATTCGTATCTTCCTAATGAATCGACCCATTAATTTACACTTATTTTAGACATGGATGAAACATTGATTCATTTTGTCAATTAGACAAAAAGTATGAGATTGGAGTATTTACTGCTGGATTAAGAGATTATGCAAATTGGGTTCTTGACTAAGTCGCTTTTAATAAATAAATCTAATTTAGATTATATCGATAACATGCCATGTAATATCAATAACACTTTGTAAAGACTTATCAAGACTGGGAAGAAGCATAGCTAAATGCATAATAATAGATAAAATAGCAGCTAACTATCAACATTAAGAAGAAAATGAGATTTAAATTAAGATTTGGTGCAACGACCCTGAGGATAAAGAATTGGTCAAAGTAGGAGCAATTTTAAGACAACTAGCAAAAGGTAATTGTGAGGATGTCAGAGATGCTCTTCAAATGTATAACAAAGCTTATGTATAGTGATTCTCTTTATCTAATTAATAAATATCTAAATAAAAATTAATTAACTAACAATGTCTTCATTTAGGCCACAATCTTCTTAGGTTATTTCAGTGAAATCACCCAGCAGAAGTGAGTATACTAAATTTTATATTAGTTATTCCTGCTATTGCGAATATGGGGAGATCATATGTTATACCTGCTGCCCAGAATTTGCCTACTACAGTAATTGTAAAGGAAAAGAATCCAGGATCCTACAATAATGATAAAGAGGTTGATGAAGGTGCAAGGGATGAATTGGAATTATGGAAGAAAAAGTATTTTTCATTAGAAGCTCGATTAGCTAAATATGAGATAGATAATGAAATTGTACTGAAATTATGCAATATTTTTAGAAAGATGAATTATAATCTAGGATATTAGGTTCATAGGAGGATGTTAAAAAGTTTTAGATAGATTATACTAAAGCACAAGCTGATTTGGATAATTAGAAATCTGAGATGAATAAGTTGATTATTGAAAATTAAAAATTGTTAAATTAACAAGTTGAGGTTGATAGATTAAAAAAATTAGTGGCTGAAAGGGAGGATACAATTAGCCAAGTATCTAATAATATTACTTATTTAGCTATTACAAAAATGCAAAGAATATCAAGAGTAATTATAAGAGCTGGAAGCTTTTTAATAGGCTCTTTAAGATATGCATAATCAAAATTAAGGAAAAGAATAGATGATTGAGTCATGGAAATAAAAATATACTGAAAATGACAGCAAAAAGTAAAAAGAAATTGATGATCTTAAATCCAAACTTGCAGAGTTTAATCCTGCAGAAGTTCAAAACTTAAAAGATTAATTTTAAAGAGAAAGACAAGAATCATAAAATCAATTAAAAAAATAACAAACAGATTTAGCTGATGCCCTTAAATAATTAGATTAATGGAAAATTAAATACAATGTAATTCAATCTTTAATGATAGAATCTTGATCTCAAACACCAATAATTATCATCTGCTCAAAAAGAATCTATTGCAAGAGTTGAGACTTTGACTTAAGAATAAAATAAGTTGTCAACTTAGATTCATTAACTTAATGATGATAAACAAAAGTTGTAGATTGAACTGGAACAGACAAAAGGATAACTTAAACTTCATTAAGGCTTGATTGGAGAATTGGATAGGATTAAAAGACTATTATCTGATAAAAGTACTGAGTTATAGCAAACCTTGTAATAATCACAGTAGAAAGACATAGATTTAAATAATGCAGAATTGACTATTTCTGAATTGAATCAAAAGATCAAATCTTTGTCACTTTTACAATAAGAAAACTAAAGATTATAAAATGAAATAGAAGAAATTCATAGAGAAAATGAAAAACTTAGCCAAGACAATTCCTAATTATTAAAAGATATTGATAAGTTTAAGCTCTTAGAACAAGAGAAATAGTAATTAGAAAGTAAAGTCAGTATGTTGGCATCAGAAATAGAGAGATTGAAAGTTTAACTTAAATAAAAGAATGAAAAGATTTTAGAATAATAAGAAGATTTGAAAAACTTATAAGAATAATTAAGAGAAATTGAAGAATTAGAAAATTAAAATCAATAATTATTAAAGGATTTGGAATAAAAAGATAAAATCATTGAAGAATTGGAATAGAAATTGTAGGAACTCAATGTTCTTGAATAAAAATTGGCTGATGCTAATAATAAAATATATGATTTAGAAAACAAAGTAGCAATGTTGAGTGCTGAATCCTAAAGATTGAGATATTTGAATGATCAAAAAACAGAACAATTGAAAAATGCAGAAGAGTAATTGTCTGATTTAAATATATTAAAAGAAAAATTGAGTCAATTATAAAATAAATATGATGCATAACAATAAGTTAATCAAAATTACTAAGATGAATTAGAAAAGCTTAGAGGCTAATCAAATTAAGCTAATACGAATATTGCTGAATTAAAAAGATAATTAGAAGAATAAAAGGCCCAAAATATAGTTTATAAACAATCAAATTCTGAATCTGTAATTGCAGAATTGCAATAATAGCTTAGTTCATTGTAACAAAGTTACAAGAAGGTTTCAGAATCAAATTTAGCTAATGAAGAGGATCCAACATTAGATTTACAAAATAGATTAACCCTACTTAAATAAGAAAATCAAAGATTGAACCAAACTATTTAATAAAAGAATTAAGAAGTCCTTAATCATTAATAATAGAACCAAAACATATAAAAAGAATTATTAGAATTGGACTCATTAAAAGTATAAATCAAAGAGTTGCATGAATCTAATAATGTATTATAGGAACAACTGTAGAATGAGGTTAAAGGTAGACAAGATTTAGAATAAAAAATTCAATAAACTGAATCCGAGAAGTATGATTTATAGAGTAAATGTGCTATGTTATCCACTCATATAGAAGGAATGAAATATAAACTAGATAAGATGGAAAATGTTGATGACCTCAAAAAAAGAATTCAAGAATTAGAAGGCCAATTAGCTGAAATGTAAGCATTGGAATTAGAAATTGAAAGCTTGAAAGATAGAATTGCAGAGTTAGAAAAAGAACTAAAATTATGGAAATAAAAGCATGATCAATTAGATTAATCGTATTAATAATTATAGATGACTAAAGAATAGATGGAGAATAAATTGGCTATGCTTTCATCTGAAATAGAACGACTAAAGGTTTTAAATAAGAAAAAGCAAGATGAAATAGATGCTTAGAATTAAGAATTAATTAAATTAGATTAAGAAATGAATGACTTACATAATTAACTTGAAGATATTAATGAATTAAGAACAGAATTGGGTTCTCTTTAGAATTAATTATAATAATAAATTGATGATAACTAAGATAAATTGAATGAAATTACTCATCTTAAATAATAAGTAGCAGAAATTGAAGGCTTATTAGTAAATCAAGAAGATTTACAAAATTAAATTAAAAAGTTGTAAACAGAATCAGAATCCAAAGATGAAATTATAAATTAATTTAAACAAAAACTAACATAATTAGAAAGCAAAATTGCTGAACTTGAAGATATAAAAGTAATTAGCAATTTATATAATAGTACAAATATGAAGATAAAATGGCACTTTTAAGTAGTGAGGTTAAAAGACATGAATTCAAATCTAAAAAATTGGAAGATAAATCTAATGAATTAACAACCCAAGTCGATCATTTAACTGCAGACTTGAATGAGGCAGATTCAAAAATTGTTGAATTGGAAAAAGTACTATATTTACTTACTTTTAGGATTTAGGTTAATGGAAGTTTGAATATTCAAAATTAAACAGTCTTCAATACAAGATTGATGAATATAGTTTCTTGCTTGTAGTTTCGTTTGCTGAAATTGAAGCTTTAAGATCTTAAGTTAATTCATTAAATGAGCAATTAAATGGTCATAATAAAACCAAAGTGGCATTAGCATTAGCTTGATGAACATTATATAATAATACAATAAACAAATTTATTTATGAATAAAATTCTAAGAGGGTTTTCAACAGTAAAATCAATGAAATTCATCAAAGATAAATAACCAATCATAAAGATTAGTGAATTACCTTCTGGAATTAAAATATTTACTGAATAAACTGCTTTTCCATTTGCTTCAGACATTGGAATTTGTTTCAAAGCAGGATTAAGAAATGAGCTCCCTTCAGAAACAGGATCATTATTTAGTCTAAACTAACACATGTATCATATCTCAGAGAACGATTGTCTTGAAAATTTGTAACTATCTAAGCTATTTAGTGAATAAACACTTCGAACAGGATGCATGTTGGATTAAACTTATGACTCAGAATTATCTTATTGGAAGTGTTAATTCATACAGGAAGACTTTGATATGATTGTAGATGTCTTATTGAAATTGGCTTTAACAACCAAGAGAATTGCAAAAGAAACAAGAGATTAATTTAGCTAAATGAGTATTCCTTAAGAAAGAGTATTAAATCGAAATATTTAGATGACTGTAGATGAAGCAATAAAAATGGCTGCGTTTGGAAAACATCCATTAGCAAATGCTAAAACATCTGCTTAAATACTGCCAAAGTAGGAAGACTTTTCAAGATTTTGAGAATAAATGCTTACTAGTTAAGACATGATAATTGGCTATGCAGGAGTTTGGAGTCATGAATAATTTAGAGAGTACATTGAAAGGAAATTAGTTAATCATTAATAATGTAATAATGTCAAAATAATTGGTAGTTTTCTAAAGACAATTAAGGAAATAAACAACTCCAGAATTCCTTTCTCAAGCTTATGCCTTAAGTGATGAAAAAAATGATTCTATTGATATTGCTCTACTTTTTAAAGGGAATAAATGGAGCGATAAAAATATGGCTACTTAGCATATATTGAATTAAATTTTAGGATCTTCAAGTATTTATAGTATCTCATAGGTTCCTGGTCAACTGGTGGTCCTGGAAAAGGAATGAGGTCAAGAACAACACTCAATCTAATGTAATCAATATCGTCTGTGGAAGAGGCTTCAGGTGTTTCATAATTGTTCTCTGATGCTGGTATATTTGGTTTGAGAGTTCAAGGACCTCCTACTTCAAAATAAGAACTATATTCATGTTTAATAGATGAATTCAGATAGTTAGGATAGCCAATGAGTGATGAAGAATTTCTTAGAGGAAAAAACATAGCTATAACTTTAATAAATTTGAATTTAGAGAGATAAGCAGATCGACTAGAAGAACAAATCAAAACTGTAAATGATTCAAATTATGTAAGACATTCTTGATGGGATAAAATGCTGTACCGCTTTATGAAAGTTTGCTTGAAAGTGTCACTAAAGAAGAACTTTAAGATTACATAAAGAATCTTATAAATAATTCTGAACCTACTCTCATGTACTACGGTAAAAACGTATAGGATATTCCAACTCTTCAACAAATTAAAAGAAATTTGAGAAGATGATAAGTATAGTATTGTTTAATATATATATATGTATTTTTTTATCTTTAAATCATAATTTTTGGCTTATATATTTTGATTAACAACGATTATCTGCAAATTTTAAGACAAAATCTATCTCTAAACGAATTAGAATCCTATTTTGAATTAGCTAATATTTACAATTACTATTAATAAATAGCATTTAAGTTAACTATCTTATTTTAATTAAAATATTAAATAGAGTCAATATATGATTGAAAAATTATAGTTGTCATTATAATCGTGGTAATTTGACTTTAGATCTACATTTAATTTCCTTAAACTTTTATGAGCGTTCATCTGTGATATCATAAATCTCTAATACAGTAACAAATCTTGAGGCAGCATTACATTCAGCCTTTATAAATAATAAAATAATTTACTTCTGATAAGAAGATTTTCGGATCTGAATTGCAAATTGCCTTGCTTTTTAAGTTTTATTTGTACAATTTCTCAAATAATTGAGGATCTACTTTTTTAGCTTGTTTTTGTACTCCACTTTTAAATAAAGGTGGAACTTATGTAGATTTCCCTTAAGGAGTCAAATTACCACCCTTGCTTCCAAATTTATAATTTTCTTAATAGTCTGAGTGTTATTATTTTAATTCTTTAACTATATCACTTTAATTAATCAAACTATCCAAATTCATTTATTAGTTTCCTCTTTATGAATTTGGATGTTGATCTTTGGATTGCACCTTATATCTTGACAAAACTTATTCTAACCTAATTTTTTGATTGAATTATGGTGGGGCCTATTAATAATTTGAGTGATTATTATTAGCCTCGTCATCCTTTATTATTGGTTTATGATTGTTTTCAAATTGTTTGTCTTCTTCTAATTGTCCATTCTACACTTTAAAATGTCTATTGTGAATTCCTTATTTAACTTATTTTTCATGTACTTCCTTCTCTTTCATTTTGACTTGGTCAAATAAAGTTTTAATCTTCTATTCGTATTTTTCATAATATTCTTTAAATCCTATTTCTAACTTCCATTCAGGATTACTCTTTAGAGTTGTTAATTTAGATTAATCTATCTTTTCTAATTAAAAAAAGGGATTGAATTCTTCTTGAGGAGATTTAATTAATCCAAGAGGATCTTAAATCTTCTCCTCTATATATTAAATTTACTGTGCTTAACCAGTTTATTCCTCTGATTATTGTTATTGTATAAATTAAGTGTATTTGAGATCTACTCTCTCATTTAATTCTACATTATAAATCTCCTCCGTTCCACTTCTTTTAAGGGCAATAGGCCTTGGTTCTTTTCGGTCATAATTTTGTTGAAATGAATCTATAAATTTACCAGTTTCTGCATCCCATAATTTGACTTTCTTATCAAAAGCAGTAGTGATGAGAAAATCTTCTTTTTCTACGTACTCTAAAGATTTAATAACTTCATAGTGAGCTCTAGTAATCCATTTTATTTTAACTTCTCTTTAAGCAATTTTAGGTAATACTAGCATTTGCCTTGCATTTTAGGTAGTTTTGAGTCCCTTAATTCTTTTTGTAGCAACATCTTCCTTATCTTTTTCATTGACAACATGAATCAAAAAATCTACAAGCCAATCAACTTCAAAGCATTTAATAAATCCTTTATCATCACTTAAAAAAAGCATCTTTTTTTCATAACTGAAAACTGCATTTGAAATTCCTAACAATTAACTAGGAATTTCAGGATCCACATTAGTAAAAGTAAATATCTTGACAAATCTATGCAATACAGGAGGCATGGACATAATTGAAATTCTTCCTTAACTATTTGTAACAAACATAAATGGTATTCCTTTAATTAAATTGATAGAAGTAATTTCTTCGCCTTATTTGAATTCATTGGCAACTCCATGCAATTTATTTGTATCAGTTTCATAAAATCTAATCTACCCAGAATTAGTTCCTGCCAATAAATGTTTCATCATAGGATCATAATTTAAGTATGTTAGTTAACCATCTTAAATTATAAAAGCTCGCAATAATTCACTTTCTCCAAATTCATTATCTAAACTCATAAATACATTATTATCCATTGATCCAGTAAAGAAAGCTCCAATATCTGAGGCATGAACAATAGTAACTACTTCACCTGAATGCTTTGGAAGATTCTTGATTTTTGCTCCATTAATCACATTAAATAATGCCACTGTTCCACTGCTGTCTCCAATAATAAATCGTTTATCCAAATTATCTAACTTAAATGCTGTAATTTCAGTTGTAGTTATATCACTATATATCTTCTTCACATCACCAGTTAGAGCATTCCAAATTTTTATCTTAGTTCCTGCAGGCGTAAAGAATGCCATTTGATTTTCTATGAACTTACAACACACAGCAACATAATCATCTACTGAATTAGGATTATAATTCTTATCGTATTCATAAGAATAAATTGATCTACCCCCGAATATCAACTTTAATGGCTTAGGTATATAGCATAAGCTTGATGGGTTAAACTTATGTTTTTCATCTTGTGTCTCTACACTAAATTATTAGACACAATTAAATTTTTTTGTATCCCAAACCTTTACGATACCTTCCTAATCCAATGAAACTATCTAAGAAGTTCCTTCTATTACTAAAACTCCAATTACTGGACTGCTATGTCCTTAGATTTTAAAAATCAAACTTTCAATATACGGATTCCAGACACATAAATTATGGTCAAATCCAGCAGAAAATAATAATATTAGGCTCTCATTAAATGCTAATGATACTATGCCTCTTGTATGTTCTTTATATGTTCGCTCTCTTTTTTTTGATAAGGTATTCCACAAAATTAAATTATGATCTAAACTAGCTGATGCCATAAACTGTAATTTTGGCATAGCAATCATGTCCATTACCACATCAGTGTGACTAATATCTTCAAATTAAATTTCAGTATCATTTTTTAAGTTCCATATGTTAATTTGACCTTCTTTTTAACCACAATACAAAATTTCATTTATCCCATCCCATGTCATACTATAAATGTCGTTGTTAAAATGATGTTCTATCATTTCCTCATCATTATCAGGTTAATTGGCTTAAACAAATCCTGAGGATTAATATCTCCACCCTCTCACATAACCATCGTGAGTTGATGTCAATAGTATTTGATACTTAGGATCATCAATATAAAGCATTGCCAAAATTTATGTTTTTTTCTCTATTGTGTCTTCCTTCTTTACAATAATAAACTAGTTCTGAATTAAGTTTATATACATTTTATTTATCTTTATCCTTTTTTGCTTGAGTTGTCACAACCTTATCACTGATAGGAACAATTTTTAATGGTTTCAAACCGAAACCTCCATCAGGTGTCATAAATTGAATTTCATCACTTCCTTCTTCAAAAAATGCAATTTTATCTATTTCCTTAATGTAGATTACACGAGTGATGATTTATGTGAATTTTTTATATGGTTTCATATTGGATTTTGTGTAAAGTTTGATTTCATCTTGTTTAGACTTAATATTATTTAATACTGTTGCTTTTTCAATTATGTAGTTTGTGAATTCTTCCCATTCTAACTTCCCATTTCCATTTAAATCAATCTCCTCAAAAAGATTAACAAGTTATCTTATTATAATATTATCAAATACCTAATCAACTTAATATCTCTATTTGAAATTTCTAATTGCCAACTTAATAAATGTTCCTTAACAACTAAAATGAATTCTGTCACTTCCATAGATCCTTATCGTATTAAAAATTCTGTTCTCAAAACATTAATTGTGAATGGATCAAAATTCAGTGTAAGATCCGCTAACAATGTTTCATCAGTATGTAAAATTTATTTATATGTTGAACGAGGAGAATAGATTGGCACTGTGTGATCTAACTTCGATAGTTTTTTGATTTGAGTTGTCATTTAATATTAATTATATAAATTAATCATATTTTAATACCAAATTCTTAATAATTCTTTGTGTCAAATCGAAATACTTTGTGATCAAGGTGAAAGAAAAGTATAATTTTGATAGCTATTCTGGTCTACTCTATAAATATAATTTAAGAAATAAAGTCATACTTTATGGTTACTTTAAGTTCGTTAAAAAGTATGTAATAATTTACTAATTCTATTAAATATTTTAGCTTTCTATAAATCTCCATTTCTATTTATATTTTATTTTAAGTAATTGAGAGCAATTAATTCAAATAACAATAATATATTTATATTAAAAAAAATGTACCAATCAAAAGTCAAAAATTACTCAATTATGAAAGAATTAGGCAAGGGAGCTAATGGATAAGTATATCTTGCGATTAGAGATGAAGATAATTAATAATATGCTTTAAAACTATAATAATCTGAAATTACAAAGTATGAATTAGAAATTATAAAGTACATTTTACTCATTTATTTAATAGAGAATTAAGAAATTATGATCTAAAAAATGTAGTAAGAAGTTATGAGTATTTTGAATATCAACAAGGTTTTATGGAATACTATTGTATTGCCATGGATTATTGTGATCAAGGTGACCTATAAAATTTTCTAAAAGTGCATCGAAACTCTGCTAAAATATAAGAAATAAGAGATATGATATTTTAAGTAATTTTTATTCAATTACAAGATTGCCTTTGGAATATGGGAGCTACATTAATTCAACATCATTCATAGAGATCTCAAACCATTAAATATATTAATGCACATCCAAGATAATGAGCTCTTCCTAAAAATATGTGATTTAGGCCTTTCAAAAATATCTAAAGGCATCGATTAACATACAGTGAATATAGGTACTCCTTATTACATGGCTCCGGAGTTAATATAAAATGATGATGATTTAAATTATGATAGCTCTGTTGATATTTGGGCTTTGGGAGTGATTATATTTGACTTTTTCTCAGAAGAATAGCTTTTTTCTGGAAAAAATATAAATAACATTTTTCAAAATATTAGAAATTCAGATTTTACACATAAATTAGATAAAATTAAGGATAAGGAGTTGAGAGAAATTTGTGAAAAATGTTTAAAAAGGGATCCCAAATAAAGGGTAAAAGTTGAGGAGATACTCGATTGTTTAAATAAATAAAAATTTGAAAATTATTAAAAAATCCTCCACGCTGAATCAAATTAAATAGCATAAAGTTAAATAAGAATTAGCAATACTATCACTCAAAATTAATAAGATCCAAAATATATCTAATCTAAAGTTTAGCAGCCTAGCTAAATACTTGAATAAGGTTCATAATATCATAAACAATAAATTTAGTTGCAAGTTTCGATTTTATCAAAAATAAGGGATAAAAAGTTTGCCAATTAATTAGTTTTTATGTTAGGTGAAAAAAACGAGGCTGAAATTTTGAAAGAATTAAAAATAAAAGGAGACTAGCTGATTGAAAATTCATAAGCATAATAATGAAGTCTAAATTTTTGTTTGCAAATCTGATTTTAACTCTATCTAGCTTTCGACTTAAAATTATAAATATAGTCACCAAAAATAGCAAAATAATTTATAGAAAGCCAAAGCGATCCTCTAAATATTTTTAATTTAATATTTTTTCATTAAATTTATTAATTAGTCGTTATCTGCCTTCATGTCGAGATTCTGTACCTTGCTATATCATTTTGGTCAATTCTAAAAATACATTAAACAAATTTAAAACATAAGCATCTAATAAGAAATTGATATACATGGTTAATTCTAATGTTACTTTAATTTCATTACAATTTAATGGTAAAATATTATCTCATGTTTATTTCTCCTCTTACTTTTCTTCATTTTATGGTAGCCCAAATTCTAAGAATATAGAACAAGAATCAATTTTATAAGTAAAAAGATACTTAATACGTTTTAAAGATAATTATAATATAATTTCTTTATTTATTCCAAATAAAGAAATGAAAAATTGGTTTCTCACAAAATTTTTTCAAAGGAATAGATTCTATTTGAGTTCTTCTCTTTCCATAAAAGATTCATTTAACTAAATTATTTAAATAATTAAATACATAGCTTTATTGTTAACTATATTTAAAACTGCTATGACTTAATCTTCTTTATTTATTGAATGCTGCAGGTGTGTAATAGTAATCATCACTTAATTTTAATATAGGAATATTGTTTACTTTTCATATTTCTAAGGAGTTTAAGTCCATTGTAGCATATATTATTTATTTGAATTAGCACCATCCTTTTGCTACTTTTTGAAAAGAAGATATTTTTTATGCATTCGATTTCTTCTAGGATGCTTGAGAATTGTTCTTATTTTTGAATCGTTCTTTAATTAATAATCAATATTACATAATGCTACTTTCTTAAAGCAGTGCTCTCTTTGCTTTAAAGGACTGGTTATTTTTTAGGTTCTTCATTCTCTTCCTCTGAATCTGTTATCAAACTAACATAGGTTTTATTTAAAAAAATGATTTCAAGAGCCTTTTTTTCAAATTCAATCTGAAACTGATCAAAATAAGAAGGTCTTTCTTCATAAAATTATAAAATACAACCCTTTTAGAATAAACTATTATTTAATATTCTATAGTTTTTCAATGAATTCTGAGATTCTCTTCTTCATACCTGAATTCCAATGATTTTTTATTGCATTATCTGTTCTTCCTTCCAAATGTTTAGCAATTTCTGCCCATTTATTACTAATTGCTTTATGATATAGAAATAGTATCCATTCTTCATCAGGATCCCAAGGTTATTTTTTTATTAGTGGATTCAAATGGTTATGCCATCTAGTAATATTAAAAATATGATTATTACCTTTCTCTGCATTATTTTCCTATTCTTCCTGGTAATTTAGAAGCAATAAAAGTCCATTTATGAGGACCATGCAATTCAACTAACTATATAACTTGTGAATCCTCATAATCAGTCCAAGGTTCTAAAATTTGATAGGAATAAATACTTTTTTTTGTTTTCTCTATTTTCTTTCTCATTTTTATTTTTTTGAATTAATTTATTTAACTGATTAATAATACTTCTAAAATCAAATACATTATATATTCAAAAAGATGAAATTTGACTAAGTAATCAGTAGTTTTATTTTAATTAGTTCTTGTCTTAGAATTAAATTGAGCTTTGATAATTTGTACCATTCATCAAAATGATTAAAATACAGATTGCAATGCTAATTCTGTGTTGATTTGAATTTTAGTAGTAATGCCCATTTTTGGTTTAATGATTGATAGTATTATGATACTAATCAACATAAATATTCAGAATTTGAAATTCATGAATAGCAGAGATATCAAATGAACAAGATTTTTTAATAGAATTTCAAATTCTTATAGCATTTCTTACTATTGCCTACCAATTATTTTGAAAAGAATCATGCAAGATTCTTAATTTAGATTTATAAACATATATAATAAATATGAGCTGTTTTCTCAATCTGAATGAAGAACACTTAAATATTAGAAAATGGGAAATTTAGAAAAGTATTGGATTATCTTAAATGAGCTGTGCCGTGACCTTTTGACTCCTTCTATAGATT